TAAAAGAACGCACACATTTGTTGTGTGTGTGTATGTGTGTGTGTGTGTGTGTGTGTGTGTGTGTGTGTGTGTGTGTGTGTGTTTAAAAATATTTCAAATATCCTTAGTATCGCAATTCAAGCAAATTAATTGATTATAATTTATTAAACTGTGATGATTACACATTTTATAATTGGTTCATGAAATTACTTCCAACAAATTTGAATTTACTATATACTATATGTGTGAAGTATGAAATATTTATACTTCATGTTATATATTACATAATTCACGCTACAATATCGATTTTCTTTTGTCCTATTCCGAGAGGAAATTTTTCCTAGCTTTATCTTTCACAAAGCTGTGATTAAAATTATCACACCTATACAAAGTAAAAGAAAAAAAAAAACGGCGAATGATGAACAAAAGATAAACACATTCGCGGGCGCTCGTACACGAAAAGTGGTGCCGTCCACTTCGCGATTAGCATCGCAAAATATTCTCAGCTCCCCCGCCGAGATACGGTCGAGGGGTTCGGGAAGCTCTTTCAGGGCGGTCGCGTTTTATATTGCTTTTCTGTGATCTCGACGAGGAGGGCAAAAAGGCAAGCGCGTGCCGAGCGGTGAAGAGGTCACGGAGTAACGAGAAGAAGAAATCGCGCGGGAGAACTTGCCGCAGGCTGGCTTTGTAGTTACGGACAAGTTGCGCGGTGCCGACGACAGACATGAGAGACAATTCGTTAGAGAAGCGGCGCGTTCGTTATGATACATTTAGAAATCACCGACGGCGAATCGCGACCCTTCTTCAGTCCTTAAAAGAGGCTAATGAAAGAAAACCACAAATCTTTCCGATCGTATATCTTTCTTTTAAGTAAATGCGTGATAAAATCTTATTTTTTAAATTATTGATTGATCGATTTTGATAATAAAAATTTGATAGTGTAAATATTTCTTTTATTATCTCGCTTGAATTAAAATTTAAATTCACAGTATTTATATATAAAGTAACAGCCATCATAAAGTAAAGTAACTGATGGTGAAAATTTTTTTGCTTGTTATTTTATTTAAAATTTATTATTTCTCCCACTTTGAGTTTTGACTTCTTTCTCGCTCTCAATGTCTCTTACCTCTTTGTACGCGCGATGCAATCGTTCTTAAGACGCGTGAATGCGCTCGTAACACGTGCGCACCCACGCACGCATGCACGCACGCACGCATTCATGAGTCCTTCGAAAAACAAACCCTGAGCTTCTTGCGCCGCCATGGCACGACTTAATTAATGAGAGAGTGAGGAGCGTCGACAAAGTCCGTCTTTGTCGAGGAGTTCGTGGCACTGGGTCGATAAAGAACGCCGCCGAGTCGACGACGGTGTTTCACTAATTACGCGAGCGTCATTCGTTCGGAACGACACGATCGGCGATCGCGATATAATTGAATGAGGCGAGGACGCGGCGCGATAATAAATTCATTTGGATTCGCGTCCCGAAGTTCGATCGACTCGCTCTACACGTCCGGTGACTAATCGTCTGTTTGAATCGCTGGTACAAGGCATTAAGGCCCCTTTGTGCTACACGACTTCACGGCGGTATTTCGACCGGATTTGTATTGATATTTGCCGCTCCTAACGTAGTCTCCAGAATCTTGAGATTAGAATAAAATCGATTTAAAAATTCATCAAGTAACCAATTAATCAAGTAAAATGTGCTTTCACAAAAAATGATATTAAAATAAATTAATATCAATATAAGGCAATAAGTAAAATATATTTTAAGTATATTTTTCTTTCGCTACGATCGAAAGAGAAATTTCAACTTTATGTGATTCTAAAATGGTTAGACACGCAAAGACATATCGTATCGAAAATGGAGCAGCGTGGTTAGGGCTTTAGCATCAAGCGAATCGATGTGAGTATCACGTTGCTCGACGAGCGTGCGACAGCTTGATAGATGAATGAACAATTGTTTTACTCTGATTTTGACCATAATGACGACGTTGCTAGTATACACCGGTCGTTAATTTATTTCCGCGCGAAACTTTTTCGTCGGGCACGATACGGTTGTTCGCGCCTATCCGATTATTCGTCAGCGCGTTCTCGCGAATAAATGCGAAATTACGGGACATTCCCACGGTAATATATATACATTTGCAAAATTGTTTGCAATTAGCATTAATTCATTCGCGAAGGATTTAAACATCTTCGTGAGAAGGTAAAGTGAGGCCGTTCGTTCGCGTACCGTGTGTTCTTCTTGGTAGATCGATGACTCTTAAAACAGATCCTACTATCTATCGCCACAAATAGAAAATGGAGCGATTCGATAAGCGCGTAGCAGATAAAGTGGCTCAGAAATAGTGGCTACGCATTTTCATGTTTGCGATCTCATGTTTGAGATTTAAAATTCTTCCTCGTACATTTCTGTATTCCGCTGCATATTTCTTTGACGTAGCGTAGCAAAAGATACGAGTGTTAAACGACACTAACTGTTTTATGTTAACAGCTTAGAGAAAGAGGAAATGTTGCATGTGGCTCGAGATAATTGACAACGAAGTCCTTGCTCAGTATCAAACACATCTGCATGCAACGTCACCGAGTGAGTGTATTCGATATGATTCATGGTCAGATAATAAATAGTTAGAATGAACAAAAAATTATGAATAGTTAGAATAAACAAAATTAAACGCTGCCGATGTAATATAATAGCATAATTATGTTCGTATCAGTCAAAAGAATGTTCCGCTGGTCTAATTAGAATTTTAAATGTTACAATTAAAATATATTTTTTTTGTATTTACTAGAAAATTGTCTGTCATGCATGGAATTTAAACCAACAATATCTAACAATATATATGCAAGAAAATTTACATCTAACCAAATAATACAATTTCTTTTATAAGAGATGTGACTATTAACTGGCTGGTCTCTCGCCACAGAAAAATTTTTTTGCTGACATTTGATAAACTATTTAGATATAAATTCTCTATCATCTATATCAAATATAAAACATGCGATATTACAGTGTTTGTTAGTAAGTTTGATTTATCCATTAGCTAATCTTGTAATCATTTTCGCTAAATAATATTCGCTGTGACTGCAAAACCATTTTTTTTCAGTGATACAAAACTTATTCATTCATATTGCTTTTATTTTTAATTAATAGGACAGCAATAAATAATTTGATCATAATTAATCATACGAAGAGGTCTTGATCATGCCAAAGGAAGAAATATATTTAGATAATTGTATCAAATAACATTCTCCCAAAACGTTACTCAATGCGGATAATTAAAATAGATATCTCGACGGATGTCTCCACGACCGAGATAAAGGTGGAAACGCGGGCAGTGATTCGCGTAATTAACGGTATAGAACTAATGGCAGAAATCCTGGTGAGCGGTCAATCGCGACAGCCACGGATTAATCGAACGACGACACGGTACGTTCGATCGAGCGTGAAGGAATTATCGTAAGAAGCGTCATCGTGACAAAAAAGAGGAGAAAAGAAAGGAACGCCGGTACTCATTCATCGTGGGAGTTCATTTAACCCCGATCGCATGGGTTTCGTCATCAGTCTCTCGCCGCGGAGAAAATTGTGAGAGATTGAGCGAGTTGTAGGCCGCGGAGAGGATCCTTGCGGTAACCTTCTTGGCGAGACGGGAAGTATGTGCCGAAATGAGCACGGCGTGGCGGTTCGATAATGGAATGCGCGAGATGACGTCGTGCCCATGTCGACGTACTCCGAACGGGATGCCGGTCGTTAAACCGTCCAAGGGCCGAGAACGGCGAGCCTGGGAGCTTTGGGAACGAGAGGAAACGATCTCGGTAACGAGGAAAGGCGGCGACGAGGCAAAGGCCTGTCAAGCCTAGCCACGGTGACACCCACCTTGCCAGTGGACCACTCCTCTTGGCTCGCTGGCCGAGGATCTTCTCGACCACGGTGACGTTGCCGCTCCTTGCTGCTTCGAGCAGCTCCTGGTCCTTGCCCATGGTCCATTTACACCGCGATCGAGCCGCGATGTTCGCCCGCACACTTGTCAATTTGTGTTTTCACTACGATTACTCGCGTTTCATTGATCCAACGTGGCCATCTTGGGCGTACTGGCGCGCCGCCACCCGGCGGCCTCGCGAGACTAGAACCTCTTCACTAAATATGTAATAAGGGTGAGCGAGATGGCGAATGGACAACTCCGCGTGGCTCATGAATGGAGCGAGCGAGACGGCGCGAATCGTACGTATCGTGTCGTGTCGTGTACGAGCGCCACGAACGAGCACAAGCTCGTACAGCCAAGTGTCAAATGACAGCTGTTGCGTCGTACCGATTCTCCACACTGCGACGAAACGCCGGCTCGCAACGAAACAGCGATTCGAGTAAATACGTATTACGCGGTGGGCGCCGACATGAAACGACTTGTCACCCTTTTGTACGTTCTGTCGTTATTCCTCGATAACGTGACGACGGCGCTAGAAAATGCGACTATCGTACCAGTATCTGGTAAGCGTACCTAACCTCAATATTCTGCAAATTTCTTAAGAAATTGTAGACGCGATATCTTCGTATAAACTTCAAAGTTGATAATATCCGGGATATCTTGAATGTCTATTCAAGACACTACTCGAAACGTATGATATAATGTACATATAATACTATAAATACTCAGAGTATCTGTATTTATTATTTGAAATGTTGAAAATACGCGCATATCTTACTCAAAATATACGAATAATACTCAAGTATATGAATGTCCAAATATGCTTATTATCTAAAATGTGCGAGTAATATTTTGAAACATGAGATCCAAATACTCATACATTATTCAAAATGTTCAAATATTATTCAAGTATCTAATTAAGTATCTAATTAGCTTATGATTAATTAAGTATCTAATTATCTATTGATTCTACTGAAATGTAGAATATTTGACGTAATGCCCATGCATTACTAACAATGTTGCACAAGCACTTTACAGATATTTAGATATATCTTTAAATATCTGGATATGTTACATGTATTATTCTTAATATTATTTTTACTCCTATTTTTCAAATATTCAATATATTATATATATGTATATATATATTTTTTTTTTCATAATACATAAGTTATAATTAATATTTGGGACTCATTGTAATATATATTTTAAATTATATATTACAAATGAGTAAATTTTTATTGTTTAACCATTAGAAATAGATAGCAAATAGATAGAAATAGAGAGATAGCAAATAATTTTAATACTTAAATAACCATAGATTATGTGAGTAATACATACTCGGGTATCTGATTATTATTCATTTCTTTCAGATGCTATAATAAATATTTGAATAATTTGAATAATTTATTATCTTACCCAAGTCATCAGCTAATATATTCCTACATTATATATCAATGATTATATTTTGTAATTAACAATTAATTGTTTTATAAAAAATGTATCTGATTTTCTTAGATTTACATATTTGTTATATATAATAGCTATTCAATAAACTGCATTCATTGCATTGCATTTTAATTTATCATATGATATGGATGTATATGTTGATCTGTGAATATATATTTTTATATTTGTCTATTTATCTATAGGATAGGATTATCTCTAACTTCCTCGTTCCTATCATGTTGCAAATTGTATTAGATAAATGAATATTTATATAAAAACATTTAAATATACCTTTAAAGATAACAAATAAAGAAATGCTTAATTTCAAATAATAGGGAGCATGTAATTATTACTATTTTCATTAATATAAATTCAATACATTGTATTGCAGATAGTGTCGGAATAATAGTATCTTTATGGAACCATCGCGAACATGATGTATTTAAACAACGAATAAATTTAGCCCCATTTAATCGCTTAAACATCACTGTGACGGATGTTCCATCAGATATTTGGTTTATTGTTTTACAAATTCATACATTTCAATACAATGCCACGTTATCTTACGACAAAGCGTTGCTCGATAAAGTATCGAACAGAAGCTTATTTGGATCAAACATTGGTTTGTACTTAAAAACATATGATGTAACAGCCCCAATACAGGTATTTTTGAAGCATAATAACGTGCATAATCTCGATGCGTTACTTGTGATTGTCACATACGGTCGAAATGGTAAGTATAAATAATATTAATAGTATACATCTCTGTCTTTGTTACACTTTCCTTTTCGAGCAATATTTAATGGAATTAAATCTGGCTTAGCACAACGCTGTCCATTAAAATAATATAAAATTAATGGCCATATTATATAAATAAAGACAATTGCAAGAGAACAATATTTGATGACAAAGACCGAAAAATTATATGCTGTATTAAATTAAATAGCCGTATTACATTGATCGCGATAGCATAAATAAATCGCAAATCATACCAAGATGTGCATTCGATTAATTTGCGGTGCATCTCTATTATCTGTCGCCCGTAAATGGTTTGAATAGCTAACCAGTTTTCGACTGCGAATGTAATGGCAAAATTGGTATCGAGGGAATCCATCAGCGTCGTTCATTGGCCGATTGTTGTTCTCCGCAGCGCCGATACCGGGTGGATGTAATATGGAATTCGATATTGAGATAGCACCGTATCAAAAGTTACGTGTAGAAAACGAAATGATAATAGTAGATGCGCAACCAGCCTCGGTGCTCGCCTCTAATGGGTCGCCGATCCCTTGCGAAAAAGATCTGGTACAACATAAGATGTATCGTCTCTATCTACCTAAGCAGGACTTTACCCCGGAAACATACTTCGACGCGATTGCAAATATGCTGACCACGCAAGACATTTCGCGGAACGGCGATGAGGTATT